TGTACTTGTTCCGGGGCAAGCAATTTTTTTAAGCCTTTGAATCAACCTGACAGTAGGGCTAGAATTTTTAATAGAAGCGATCAGCAATGGCAGCCAACATATATTCACTGGCCACTTTATTAGGTACACATAATCAGTTGCTTAGTAACACAAATTCCTAATCAACTCAGTAACTCAATACATTTAGGCATCTAGATGTCGTGAAGACGACTTGCTGACGTTCAAACCGAGCATCAGAATGGGGAAGAATAGGGGATTTAAGTGACTTTGAATGTGGCATGGTTGTTGGTGCCAGACGGGCAACTCTGAGTATTTAAAAAAAAAACTGCTGATCTACTGGGATTTTCACGCACAACCATCTTTAGGGTTTACAGAGAATAGTCCGAAAAAGAAAAAATATCCAGTGAGGGGCAGTTGTGTGGATGAAAATGCCTTGTTGATGTCAGAGGAGAATGGGCATTTGATTTCAGCTTAGGAGCTCCGTGAATTCAAGCGTGGTACCATGATAGGTTGTCACCTGTGCAATAGGTCCATCCGTGACATTTCCTTGCTACTAAATATTCCACGGTCAACTGTTAGCGGTATTATAACAAAAGTGGAAGCTACTGGGAACAACAGCAACTCCGCCATGAAGTGATAGGCCACGTAAAATGACAGAGCGGGGTCAGCCCATGCTAAAGCGCAGTGTGCAGAAGTTGCCAACTGTGTGCAGAGTCAATAGCTAAAGCCCTCCAAACTTCATGTGGCCTTCAGATTAATACAACATTGCATAGAGAGCTTCATGGGATGGTTTCTATGGCCGAGCAGCTGCATCAAATCCTTACATTACCAAGTGCAATGTAAAGTGTCAGATGCAGTGATGTAAAGCACGCCGCCACTGGACTGTAGAGTAGTGGAGACATGTTCTATGGAGTGATGAATCGCGCTTCTCTGTCTGGCAATCCGATGGATTTGTCTGGGTTTGCCAAGAGAGCTGTACTTGCCTGACTACATTGTGCCAAGTATAAAGTTTGGTGGAAGGAGGTTTATGGTGTGGGGTTGTTTTTCAGTTGGCTTGGCCCCTTTGTTTCAGTGAAGGGAACTCCTAAGGCGTCCGCATACCAAGACATTTTGGACAATTTCATGCTCCCAACTTTGTGGAAACAGTTTGGGATGGCCCCTTCCTGTTCTACCATGAGTGCACAAAGCAAGGTCCATAAAGACATGAATGCGTGAGTTAGGGGAGGAGGAACTTGACTGGCCTGTACAGAGTCCTGACCTCAACCCAATAAAACACCTTTGGGATGAATTAGAGTGGAGACTGCGAGCCAGGCCTTCTCATTCGACATCAGTGCCTGACCTCACAAATGCACTTCTGGAAGAATGGTCAAACATTCCCATAGACACACTCCTAAACCTTGTGGACAGCCTTCCCAGAAGAGTTGAAGCTGTTATAGCTGCAAAGGGTGGACCAACTCAATATTGAACCCTACGGACTAAGACTGGGATGCCATTAAAGTTCATGTGCATGTAATGGCAGGCATCCCAATACTTTTGGCAACATAGTGTAACAAAAAGCCTTAGGACTTCTGCTGGGCCCCGCCATCATGGATATGAGGGCACCAGCAGACATGGATCGAACTTTGGCTGGTTCAGTAGGGACACACAGAATTTTGATCCATGTCTGGGTAGTCTGGTTATACGGAAGTCAATCTATCGATAGACTTCTATACAATCAACCTGTTGTGTTTTTCCTGAATGATCAGTGCCTCCAGTGGGGAAGGCTCCCTACTATCAAAATACAATGGCACAATGGTTATCAAGTCTTTTTTTTTTTTTTTTTTTTTCTTTCTTTCTTTCTTTCAACTTTTTGGTTGAACGAAATAAAATTTATTGCTAGCCTTAGAGCTGTCACTTAAATTACACTCTATAGTATTCCCCTTCAGTTGGCCTTCTAGCAGCTACGTAAACAATTCTTCAGGAAAGTGAGGGGAGCAGCTGGGCCAGTACAGACATTCAACACTCCCAGAAGAGGAGAGGGCTATGACATGCAGGATGGGAGGGGGCTGTGTTAAGGAATTACCTCTTCCTAGAGTAGTGATATTTTCTAGCAAGTTCAAAGGCACCTTGCAAATGAATTTAAAATCGGTTTTTTGTTTTTTTTTTTTTTTTACCTTGCACATAATTAAGTACTCTTTGCAATTTGAATAGATGTTCATCACATTGATTAAGCAAAGTAAAAATTCCCATGCAAAGTGAACAGCCTAGTTGCCTTAGTGAATTAACTTTCCATCAACATAATAATGATTCATTATGCAGTAATGAATTGGCTCTTTGCCAGCCTTCAATACAGTTGTAAAAAAAAAAAAAAAAAAAAAACGCCACTATTTGTACTAGAGGTCAGCGATTATTTCTGCTTTAGGTATCAGTCAGCCACATGTGGTGTTGAAATTGTCTGCTCTAACTTAAAGCGGTTCTAAAGGCAAATTTCTTTTTTTCTACCTTAATCCATTCTCTGCATTAGGGTAAAAAAAACTTTCAGTAGCAGCTCCCCCAGCACTTGATCCAGCACTGTCCTGTCTGCAGTAGTTTTTCTCCCTTCCTCCCGGTCTTACAGGCTTTGCTGATAGTAGCGGGTGCTATTGGCTCCTGCTTCTGTCTTTCAAATTGTGAGGAGTGGGTGGGGCTAAGCCATGTTGTGTGCCTGTAGACGCACACAGTCCGGTTGGGAATCGAGCCCACACATCTGCCTCTGTAGCATGCGGTTTGCTGTGGGGGACGGGGGAGAAGAGGGACCCCAAAAGAGGTTCAGGCTGCTCTGTGCAAAACCATGGCACAGAGCAGGTAAGTATAACATGTTTTCCATTTTAGAAACAAAAATTGTGTTTAGAACTGCCTTAAAGAGTCTGTTCTTATTTGGTAACAGATGAAAATGGCAAGCTGCTAGGAAAAAATAGCACTGTACTACCTCTGTTGTCGTCATCATCAAGATGAGCACAGCAATGAAAGCAGCTCTTTCATTATTACAGTGGGGGAGAGAGAAGCAGCACAGGGAGCTTGCTTATACGAGAAGAGAGCACAGTGATGGAAGAGCTCCACAGTAAATGCCTTCCACTGTCCAGTCACAGGGTGGGGAGGAGATCTGTAAAAGAACACCCCCTCATCTCTCCATTCCATTGTGTTTACTACCATCCAGGAGCAGCACAACATTTGGTGGTATACTTTGACCTGTTAGGTCAGCAGTCCCCCTCTTGATGTGGATTTGCTTGGTTTATCTTGCCTTCTGACAAAAAAAGCCTTCTGACTAAAACGGGTTCCCGTCTTTCTTTCCAAGCTCTTGGCTCCAATGTAGTTTTAGAGGGTTAACACTTAAAGCCCCAGCTGGTAAGCACTGTCTTCTTTTTTTTTTTCCATTATGGGGTTTTCATTGGGGCCTGTGGTGTGTTCTGGGGCAGCTGGGACCATGTGGAGGCCTAAGGCTTACGGCCTAGTGGGTACATGTGGACCAAGCTTCAGGTTTGGGTAAAGTGGTGTCACTTCTGGTGGCTTTGGGTGACACTGCTGGACAGGACTAGGGCACTGAGAGCAGAACAGTATGAGGGGATTGCGGCTACCAGAATGAAGGGGTTACTATGACCAGCAGCGCTGACCACTGCATTGAAGCCAGGTCCTGCAGTGGCAAGTCCTTCCCTGCAGAGATTTGGTGACTTTGGCTGCAGTATCACCTTGGTTGTGGGCAGGGGCTCTAAAATGTGTTCCTGTGCACCTTCCCTCCCTTTTGTTATTGTCTGCTGTGTTTGCTCAGAGATGTGGTTTTTTTTTTTTTTTTTTTTTTTTTTGTCTGTTCCTAATCAGTTAAATATGAAAAAATATGAGATGTTGCCTATGAGTATTTTATTTTCTACTTTTCAGACAGCTGCTACAACTGTAGGTTCCTTTTCACGTGTTTTCTAAGTTGTCTTTATCTCTTTTGCTGAAAGAAACCATTTGCTTACAGAGCTCAGTAACTCAAGTCAAAGTTCACACACATGCATCATAGAAGTAACTTCTTCCTCCAGCTGTTTGTTTCACTTCAACTGGAACTTGGAAAGGAGGCCAACAAACTGCTACTACTGTGGTTTTGCTTTAGAAAACCTATAATGCTCAGGGAAACCTTTTGTTATCCGTATACACTGTGTTAAATGTTTCTTTGTAGAATCAAAATTTAGCATAGATTGGACACAGGCAGCAATAAACATTAAGATAACATTAAGGGCTCCCTCATACCTGTGCTTGAAAAAAAACCTGGTTTTCCCATGTTTGCCCCCCCAAAAAAAAGTCCAATATTTATTTTTATTCAGAGCAGCACACTACAGTGCATTCACATCTGTAGATTTAGGTGCTCTAAAGGAGAGGAGCATTTGTTTTTACTGTATATGTGCCTTGGGGTGCCATTCATAATGATTGCCAACACATACATGCATTGTTCTGTGTGAGTAGAATAGCGTACATGAACCCTAATAACTAATGTTGGCTTATACACACAGGGTCAACCTGCCTGTTTTATATGGGTACCCAGTCTTATAAAACGAGCATGTACTGCATTTATAGGCTAAAGCATAGACGAGTTGAAAAACAAAAGTTCTGTCGATCAAAAAAAAAAACGAAAATAGCTCATACAATTGTGCCATCAACTGTTTTTATTTTCTTAAAAAAGAAAACCCAGCGTGTTGGATCAGGCACTTTCGATTGCAGTACGGAAATTGCGTGTTGCAGCTGGCACATTGATGATGCGAAAAATGAACAATTTGATGATTGATGCAAATCTTAATCTTTTTTTCGACTTGTCTATGGCCGGCTTAATTTATTTTTCAATCAAGTGTTTATTTTGAACGTGTTTAGGTGAATAAACAGTACTAAAAATATCCGTTTTATTCCAATTTACAATCAGTATTGGTGTTTGTTCGCATATGAAAGTAAGGCAATTCTAATACATATGATTTTTTTTTTTTTCTTTTTGTTATTTTAGGCGATAAGCCATCATGGAGCCCAGTACTACCAAGCCAAAAGTTCCAGACTTCCTCTCCAACTTAGGAAAACCCACACTGCGAGGTGTACGAAAGTGCCCACACTGCGGTACCTACAACGGAACCCGGGGCCTTAGCTGCAAGAATAAGAGCTGTGGCACTGTATTCCGGTGCCGAGATGTCAAACAACCAACTAAGGATGCCGTGAAGCTGCTCACTGGTTCTGACATGCAGATCTTCTCAGTCAAACAAAGGGACAAAGGACCTGACCACAGATGTCTGGTGGTATTAGGAATTTCAGAGACCACTATTCAGACAGCTGAAGGCACAATAATCACTCATATTAGCTCAGGACGATGTTTCGCCCCTGGATGTCTTAAAGCTGCAGCTCGAGGGGGGGTGGTAGAAAATCAGTGCCAGCACATTAAGATGGCCTTAAATTGCCAAGTTGAAGCGGAGGCACTCCAGTTGAAAAGTTCAGTCTTAAATGCCATGCAGATTCCAGCAGAAATCAAACAAGACATTTGGGAACTTGCTAGTGAGTGCTTGGGACCAATGGTTCAGAAGGTGACCAAATCCATATTTGTAGTGCGCTGTAAAATCACCCAGCAAAACAGTCTTGGTTACCTTCACGTATACCTGACACGGAGAGATGGCCTACAGAAAGGAGTGGGGCACCTTTTCCAGTGTTCCTGTGAGTCTAAAGCACTGGCATCTAAGACAGAGATCCAGGACAAATGTGTGCATTACTACACCTGCCTGGCTGCTTTTGCCAGTGACGACATCCTCTCTGAACAGTTCACAGAACATTTCTATGTCATGTCTGAAGGTAAGGAATGTGGTCTTGTAACTAGTGTGAAATGGGAGGCAGGCGTACAGATTAATTAGGGAAAATGCCAAAAAAAAAAAAAAAAAAAGCTAAGTCATTTATAGAAGACGGTGAAACGCTATCAGATTCGGTCTGCTTTTGAATGATCTATTACTAAGCATTAGACACAATGCAAATATCCATCCAGCAAGGAACACTGCACTGTCAAGAATTAGGGCATTTTATTTGTAGGCACAACAGAAGACATGCATTAATTCATGTTGCATTGACATGTATTTTAGGCATGTTGTATGAACCATTTGCCCTCCTGAGGTTTTACACCCCCCCCCCCCCCCATCCTGAACAGGCCATTTTTTTGTGTTATAGCGCTGCTTTACTTTAACTGACAACTGCACGGTCATGCAACGCAGTCCCTTTTTTTTTTTTTTTTTTGTTTTTTTTTTTTTTTTTTTTTTGTTTTTCCACTATTAAAAAGTGAAAAAATCAAATTTCATCATCAGTTTAGGCCAAAATGTATTCTGCTACATATCTTTGCTAAAAAAATTGAAGTTTTTTAGTGTTTACAAATGGCAGTATAGATACTGAAATTTTTTTTTTAATTTTTTTTTTTTTTACTAGTAATGGCGGTGATCAGCGACTTATAGCGGGACTGCGACAGGCATTCTGACACTGTGGGGAACTAACTTGGTGTCACTGACATCCCCAGTGTCATCACTACAGTGATCAGTGCTAAAAACCACTAACACTGTACTAATAGCACTAGCCAAGAAGGGGTTAACATGAGTGGCAATCAAAGGGTCAATTGTGTGCTGTTTTACTTTGGGCTGTGTGTCTGTGCTTCACTGTAATCGCACTGCTTTGGATGGCTGTGCTGTTTACATACAGTTCTCCCCGTTGGAGATCCTCAGCAATCACCAGCCGGGAACCGGTGATTCTAGCCACGAATGGCGGCATGGGTAGAGCGCGCACATGCCTCACGCACGCGCCATACCCAGAAATGCAAAATCACATATATATGTATATCTGCTATAGGGTGGTTGGGAAGTGGTTAAATATTGCTGTGATACTTAACAATCTCTTGCTGCTGAGAGAATTAACCACTACAGTTAGGTCCATATATATTTGGACACGGGCACAATTTGTTTTTTTTTTTTTTTCAGGTATTTACCAAATCATATTCAAGCTATAGTTCTATATTAGATATGGGCTGAAAGTGCACACTATTAGTTTTAATTTGAGGGTATGTACATCCAAATTGGAGGAAGGGTTTAGGAAATACAGCTCTTAAGAGTAGCCATTCCCCCTTTTTCAAGGGACCAAAAAGTAATTGGACAGTTGAATCAAAAGATGTTTCATGGCCAGGTGTGGGGTACTCCTTCATTATTTTTCATCAGTTAAGCAGGTAAAAGGTCCGGAGTTGATTCTAAGTGTGGTATTTGCATTTGGAATCTATTGCTATAAACCTATATCATGTGTTCAAAGGAGCTGTCCATGCAAGTGAAACAGGCCACATTGTAAGGCTTCACAAACTAAAGAAATCTATCAGAGAGCAGCAACATTAGGAGTGGCCAAATCAACAGTTTGGTACATTCTGAGGAAAGAAGAACGCACTGGTGAGCTCAGCAACATAAAAAGGCATGGATGTCCACGGAACAGTGGTGGATGATCGCGGGATCCTGTCTATGGTAAAGAAAAACCCATTCACAACATCCAGACAAGCGAAGGAAACTCTCCAGGAGGTGGGTGTATTATTGTCAAAGTCTGCAATCAAGAGAAGACTTCACGAGAGCAAATACAGAGGGTTCACCACAAGGTTCAAACCATTTATAAGCCTGAAGAAAAGAAAAGTCAGATTAGACAATTTTGCCAAAAAACATCTAAAAAAAAAAAAAGCCAGACCAGTTCTGGAAAAGCATTCTTTGGACGGATGAAACTAAGATTAATCTGTACCAGAATGACGGCAAGAAAAAAAGTGCTTGGAACAGCTCATGATCTAAAGCACACAACGTCATCTGTAAAATATGGTGGAAGCAGTGTGAGGGCATGGGCATTCATTGCTTCCGGTGGCACTGGGTCATTGGTGTTTATTGATAATGTGACAGAAGCAGCTGGGTGAGTTCTGTAGTGTTTAGAGATATGCTGTCAGCCCAGATTCAGCCAAATGCAGCAAAGTTGATTGGATGGTGCTTCATAGTACTGATGGACAGTGATCCAAAACACACTGCAAAAGCAACCCAGGAGCTTTTGAAGGAAAAGTGGAATATTCTGCAATGGCCGAGTCAATCACCTGATGCCAACCCAATTGAGCATGCATTTCACTTTGCAAAACTTAAGGCAGAAACAAAGAACTGAAGACAGCTGCAATTAGAGCCTGGCAAAGCATCAGAAAGGAGGAAACCAGTCTTTGGTAATGTCCATGGGTTCCAGACTTCAGGCAGTCATTGTCCGTAAAGGATTCTCAACAAAATATTAAAAATGAACATTTATGATTATATTCATTTGTCCAATTACATTTGAGCCCCTGAAAATGGAAGGACTGTGTATAAAAATGGTTGCGTTCCTAAAATTTTTATTTTTATGTTCAACCCCTTGAATTAAAGCTGAAAGTCTTCACTTCAAATTCATTTGGATTATTTCGTTTTAATTTATTCTGGTGGCATACAGAGCCAAAAGTATGAAAATTGTGCCTGTGTCCAAATATATATGGACCTAACTGTATAAAGGATATTTTTAGTAGGTTAACCTTTTGTCATCCACGTAGTGCATATTTATAAGAGGATGGGCTTTATCTACCACACGCCTCACATATGCATCCATGTCCGCAAAGCTTTCTGTGCTGAGAATACCATCATTTTATACTCCTAGGTGTCAGGCGGCTCTCGATTTCCACTAATGATTGTAAGCTGATCATGTGTCCACTAACAGCCAATCACAGTGGTAGCATAATCTTCCAGTCCTTTTCAACCCCCCCCCCCCCCCCCCCCCCCGGGCGTAAAGACCCTATTAACGGGACACCGGGGCTGAGTGGATAGGGGTTAAATAAGCTTTCTAAAATCATTCGCATTTAAATGCTAAGAGTAGCAGTTGGTGGCTAATTCTATGTGAAAAAAAATGGCCCTAGTCATATGCGATTTATTTCATCTACAAAATTCTACTTGTGTAGATTAAGCAGCCTATAGATGACTTGATTTTCTTTCCTTCCACTCATGGAAAATCGCTTGATTCATCCATCAACACAGGATATCTTTATGAGTGAATGCCTCTCACAGCGCTTATGTGTTCTTCTGAGGAGGGTGGACGCGGGGAGCCTTCTCTGGCTGGCAGAACACAATGATTACGGCTAGCAGCTATAGCCGCAGGCAGTAATCGCATGCTAAAAATCTGATAGGCTGATTGTACCCAAGGCGATCATTGGATCAACTTGGGTACAATCAGCTTGCCCCTAGATGGATAACATCTCGGCCTTCTGTACCATGTGATCTCTTGTGGGCAAAGACATTGCATTTGTGACCTGCGTTTGGTGTATAGTTAACTTAATATTGATGCCCCCTGCAGATCGCAGAGTGCATTTTGAACACGTGAAATGCACACGTAATGTGGGTTTTCCGTGCTGCGTTCTTAGCTGGCCCTAAGTGGACTGGATTGAAAACAGAATTGTCTCATGTTTGTCCTGTAGTGTAAGATGCAGCAAAATAATTAACAGCTGGTCAGGTGTGAACACATGGGCAGCCAGCAGCGAGAACCTGCAATTCTTGCAAGAAAAAAAAACTACCTTTGTGTGCGAGCAACTGCAGTCATGCCAAATTTGTACCCTGTACAACTTGATGGCCAATGCCTCCTAGGTTTGTATGTAACCACTCATCCAAGGTTACATTCGATTAGGAGCTCTGCCCAGCCCTGGACGCAGACCGTTTGCAACCAAGGGCAGTGGTTCTGACTGCACACAAACTGGAAACAGCTAATCGTCCAATTTGTATGTGGCTATAGCACAGAGCACTGCTTTATGCAGATACTGACTTTACCAGCATCAGACTGCTACAGTCCAGCTGCCTCTAGTCACCTGCAATAATGAGCTGTTCATTTTAAAATTTAGTGTGCAGATATAATTGTATCTCACAGTAATATGTACCAAAAGCAGCACAAGCACATAATGTGCTATACAGCATAAATGTACAGTGATTTTTTTTTTGTTTTAATTCTAATTTAACCGCTAGCCTACAGGGCACTTATACCCCCTTCCTGCCCAGGCCAATTTCCAGCTTTCAGTGCTGTCACACTTTGAATGAAAATTGCACGGTCTTGCAACACTACCCATATGAAATTTGTATCATTTTTTTGTGACAGAGCTTTATTTTGGTGGTATTTAATCACCTCTGGGTTTTTATTTTTTCTTTAAACCAAAAACCACTGAAAATTTTGGAAAAGTTTTTTTCTTAGTTTTTGTTGTAAAGTGATTTTTCTCTTTCACTGATATGCGCTAAGGAGGCGGCACTGATGGGCACTGGTAGGTGGCACTGATGGGCATTGACAGGCATCACTGATGGGCACTGAAAGGCAGCACTGATACATGGCACTGTTAGGCGGCACTGGACTGGCACTGTTAGGCGGCACTGATAGGTGGCACTGATTGGCATTGATAGGTGGCACTGAAAGGCAGTTCAGATGGGCACTGATATGTGGCATTGATGGGCACTGGTAGGCACTGATATGTGGCATTGATTGGGCACTGGCACGAGGCACTGATGGACACTGACAGGTGGCGCTGCTGGGGCTACACTGATCAGGGCACACTGATCATCAGTGCCCTGATGATCCGTGTACATGTCCCCTCTGCGGAAAGCCGATTACCAGCTCTCCTCTCAAGCTGTCAGCGTGACCGCTCGAGAGGAGAGAAATGCTGATAACCGGCATTTCCCTGTTTACATGTGATCAGCTGTGATTGGACACAGCTGATCACATGACCGAGCCAACATCTTCGGCTCTTTCGGTGATCCGCTGTGTCTGAGGGACACAGCGCACTGCCGATCGCTGCGCTGCACGCTCCCTGAGCCGCGTATGCGCGGTGAGAATGGGGGGAACTCGTATGACGTCCTCCCAGAACAAGAGAACCACCTTGTATCCGTCATATTACTATATGGCAGGTGGGAGGTGGTTAAAGAATATTGTTTGGAAAGAACTGTGGTAGTAGTGTAATGTCTTAATTGCACATACCTCCAAGTTGTCCTTTGTAATATAATGTAATGCCAAAATTCCAAAACAAGTTAAGCAATATTAGCATTCACTTACATGCTCATGTTCATTATTTAAAATATTTGTCCCTTTTTTAGAATTCTATATCACAGAGTTCTCCAATTAATGTAAAGAACTAGAAGTAGTTGGTTACAGTACTGTTCACAGTGGAGATTTCACATGGCTCTATTCTGAAAAGGACAACACCGAAATTACAGTAAATTAAATATATTTTCTGCAGTCCATTCTAAGCCTCACTCCTGGTTAGAATGGCCCTTCTAGAGATGATTGTTGTGGATCTTTATGCCATGCATTGGAAAGATCAGCCTGTTTTCTGAAAGTCAGAACTGTTTTCTCCACTGACACTCAGAATACATACGCTGTTAAAGTGAGATTAATAGAAATTCTCTTTTATTACTTTTTTAAAATAACATACATGTTACTGCTTTGTGCAGTGGTTTTCCACAGGGCAGCCCCGATCCTCCTCCTTCTCGGATCCCCTGCTGGTACTCCTGGCCCCTCACTCCTGAGTGCAGCTTGCTATAGGGGCACCCAAGCAGGCTCGCTCTGCTCTTGCTGTTGTCTCCGCCAATGAGGGGGAGTCCCTGGAGAGCTGCTGCACACAGAAGGTGTTTTTTATTTTTTTTTAACCTTTCTAGGCATAGAATGCATGAAGGTAAAAAACCTTGCTCCTTTCACAATCACTTTTTTTTTTTTTTTTTTTTTTTTTTTTGAACACAACCAACATTTTGTCAGTAAATCTTTATCCTCCAAATGTTTTATTCATATGCCCAACTAGGGGTCTCATTTAGACATAAATTATGTCATAGATTTGCATTATGTCACAGAGTTCTCTTAGAATCACAAAGTTCTCCTTGCTGTGTTAAACTAAGAGTCCAGTCATATCACTTTGACAGATCATATTGCTTCATAACTGCAATTGCAGTGCCTTGAAAAAGTATTCATACCCCTTGAAATTTTCCACATTTTGTCATGTTACAACAGAAATGTAAATGTATTTTATGTGATAGACCAACACAAAGTGGTGCATAATTGTGAAGTGGAAGGAAAAATTAAAAATTGTTTTCAAAGTTTTTTTACAAATATCTGAAAAGTGTGGCGTGCATTTGTATACAGCCCCCTTTACTTTGATACGCCTAACTAAAATCTAGTAGAACCAATTGCCTTCAGAAGTCACCTAATTGGTAAATAGAATCTACCTGCTTGTCATTTAATCTCATTATAAATACAGCTGTTCTGTGAAGCCCTCAGAGGTTTGTTAGAGAACATTAGTGAACAAACCGCATCATGAATGCCAAGGAACACACCAGACAGGTCAGGGATAAAGTTGTGGAGAAGTTTAAAGCAGGATTAGGTTATAAAAAAAAAAAAAAAAAATATTCCAAGCTTTGAACATTGCACTGTTTAATCCATCATCTGAAAATGGAAAGAATATGGCACAACTGCAAACCTACCAAGAGATGGCTGTCCACCTAAACTGACAGGCCAGGCAAGGAGAACATAAATCAGAGAAGCAACCAAGAGGCCCATGGTAACTCTGGTGGAGCTGCAAAGATCAGGTGAGACAATCCATCCACAGGACAACTATTAGTCGTGCAGTCCACAAATCTGGCCTTTATGGAACAGTGGCAAGAAGAAAGCCATTGTTGAAAGAAAGCCAGTTTGCGTGAAGCAATGTGGGGGACACAGCAAACATGTGGCAGAAGGTGCTGTGGTCAGATGAGACCAAAACTTAACTTTTTGGCCTAAAAGCAAACGCTATGTGTGGCAGAAAACTAATACTGCACATCAGCCTGAATACACCATCCCCACTGTGAAACATGGTGGCAGCATCATGTTGTGGGGGTGTTTTTCTTCAGCAGGTACTGGGAAGCTGGTCAGAGTTGATGGGGAGATGGATGGAGCCAAATACAGGGCAATCTTAGAAGAAAACCTTTTAGAGTCTGCAAAAAAACTTGAGACTGGGGCAGAGGTTCATCTTCCAGCAGGACAACCACCCTAAACATACAGCCAGCACTACAATGGAATGGTTTAGATCAAAGCATATTCATGTATTAGAATGGCCCAGTCAAAGTCCAGACCTAAATCCAATTGAGAATCTGTGGCAAGACTTCAAAATTGCTGTTCACAGACTCTCCATCCAATCTGACAGAAAAAAGACTTGCAGCTGTAATTGCAGTGAAAGGTAGTTCTACAAAGTATTGATTCAGGGGGGCTGAATACAAATGCACGCCGCCCTTTTCAGATATTTATTTGTAAAAAATTTTGACAACCAGTTCTTATTTTCCTTCCACTTCACAATTATGTGCCACTTTGTGTTGGTCTATCACATAAAATCCCAATAAAATACATTTGTTTTTGGTTGTAACATGACAAAATGTGGAAAATTTCAAAGGGTATGAATACTTTTTCAAGGCACTGTATCGAAAAGAGTTGTTTTTATGGGTAATACAGGCAGTTGGATTCTTCTTTTATAGTGATAGATAAGTACAGATAAGAAAATGAAAGGGGTACTCCTATTCAGTGCTTAGACAACAAAACAAGCAATTTTAACCTTGAGGCTCATTTTTGACCTTTTCATTGTTGTTTGTGATCTATGAAATGCAGTCAGTTGTTAAGGTTGATATTACCATTGATGTCTTTGAAATTGCACAGGCCTGAAAGAGATAACCGTCTTAGAAACAGACAGCAAGATGGAGACTGTGGAAACTGTGGTGCAAATACATGAAGAATCCTCGCCATTGCTAAAACCCAAGAAACTGAGAAAGGATGACTCCCCAGGTGATAGATCTATGCATTTATTTAACCGTTCTAAAAACTGGAATTGCTGGACTCTTCTTCTGAACCTGCTTGTTTCCTGGCTGGCATACTGACCCTCCTTACTTGGTAGTACTTTGGATCACTGACCTAGAACAGGTACGTAAATTTAGACTTCTGAGTTTGAAGATTGGCCTGCTTCTTTTGGGTCAGTGATTTGGTCAGTACCACAACCAGTAGGCAAGTATGATAACCAGACAGCTAGCATTTTTAAACAGGAGGTCAGTTGTGGCAGGCCATGAATCTATCGTGACACACTTACTTCAAGCTTGTGTCTGACCTAAAGAAAAGATAGTGGGATCAATACACAAAGGATATTGCATGAGATATTTGGGTCATGTGACATGTTTAACCCAAATATCTCATGCTATATAAAAAATGTCAATTCACTATAGGTTTATGCGGCATTTACTGAACAAATAAACGCTTGGTAAATGCTGCATAAACCTAAAACTCAATTCATACAAACATGTTGTTACGTTGTGGTCAAGCCATGTGGTATTTAACATACTAGCTGGTTGTTTGGAACTGGCACCTGGAACAAACCTTATCGGAATCTGGAAGCCCCATGTGAATGAGTATGGGGTACACACACCATGTGGGCAGCGTTCATCATGATTGACGATGGATGTACATCGAGGGACATTTTTTTATTTATTTTTAAAGATTCAGATAAATCACGCCCCCCCCCCAGCACCCCCACTATCACAGGGGCAGGGCTGTGGGGAAGAGGCCCTTGTCGTCATCAACTGGAGGGCCTGGTATGGATTAATAGGGGGGGAGCTGCACACTGTGTACTTTTTTGCTTTTCGCTCTTTTTTGTTTACATTCTGCTGACAGCGGGGATGAGTCACTGGTTGCTAGGATGCCGACAGCTGCCTGCTCCTTAACAACCAGCAGCCCTGAGCAGAACTGTTACATTTAGCAGTGGAGTGGTAAGAATACCATTGCTAAATGTTTCAGATCCCAGTGCAGCTGGCCTGTGGTAAAAAAAAAAAAAAAAAAATGTTCAAAAACATTTGAACAATACCACAAAATGAAAAAAATTAACATGCACTTCCTTTTTTTTTTTTTTCCCCCAATAGAACTCAAATAATCATGCAGTATTTAACTCTCAATGAATTGACCCCAGGATATTTTATTTTACCCCTGCTGTTGTTTATTGGGGAACACGGCAGGCCTCTGGGTTTAGGCCCCCGCCCTTGGAAGAATGGACGCTAAGTAAAAGGTTTGTTCCTTCCCTAAGACTATACCTCTCTAAATGACAGCCAGGATATCTACTTTAAGTAGTCCTATCAGAGGGGAGACAGGTTTTACAGATATATATTCTAGTTTTGATTTCTGAAGACGCAAACACTGCTCTGCAAACATGTAACCATATAGGAACATACGTCTTTGCAGACCTTTTTAAAGTATGTTGACTGTTCAGACCTAATAGCATTGTTCCTAATGTGTGTTCTATTCTTCACGTGTTTAAGGTACAAACTCTCTGGTGCAAGAGGCTACCCTTAACAGTGGGAAGAAGAATACAGCGAAGAAAATGCCAGTCAATTCGGCAGCTAAGAGACCAGGTACACAACACTTTTATTTTCACTGCTGCTATTAGAGTGCACAATTTTCATCAACCGTTTTTCAGCCTTGTGGAATTTGTAGTGCTTGGGTGATGTACATGGTGGTATCAGCATGATAGAATTCTTTGTAATATTATTCTTTTATAATAATAATTTTGGTAGTTGGTACACGCTAGGTTTATGGTATAGTAAGATATATTTAAGAGTATTTTCAGCTTAATGTTTTAGTTGAAGCAGAACTATGCTGTTGTTGACTGGGCTCCCCCAGTCCTTTTTTTTTTTTTTTTTTTTTTTTTTTTTTTTTTTTTTTAGGTCCAGAGTCCTTGGTTTTCAGCCAATGTTCTTTATTGGTTGACCACAGGTGACCTAACACCAACACTTGCACGCAGGAGTTACTGTGTCCTACACTGAATTACCAATGCGTGGCAATCTGTATGCGTAATGAAATTGGTTTCCCAAAGCACTATGGTTTTAGATAAAAAGATTGCACATTGGAAGGTGAAATATAAAGTAGCAGTCTAAATCTCTTTCTAGTACGCTAGTATAGGTTTACTACAAAGTAACTCCAATAGGTGTGCATGCTCTGGGTCACTCACATGTATTGAAGTCATTTGATGAGCACAACAGTCAGGCAGATATAGACAAAGAATATTAGCGAGCGCTACTTCCAGAAATAGCCGCTGGAACACCAAAGATAACCAAAAACAACCTTCCAATGCAAATAACAGATAAAAGGTGCAGTGCTAAAACAAGATATTATGCATAATAAAGTGCAGAGTGATCATCAATAATAAAATTATAACCACCTGAATAAATAACTTAAATAATATAGTGTGTAAGGTATATCACCACGAGGTGATAATAAATGGTGATTAAATTGTCCCAAAATAAAGATGTGAGGATCCTTTCAAGATCACAATCAACGTGTCAGGATATCTGATCCAGGGGTGACAGATGAAGTGACTAAATAAGCAAAATGTGCACTCACCAGAAGTGCGCTAAAAACACACATTTGAGATATTGTCCTGTCTCATCAGGTATAATCAGGTCACTGCTCCCAGGTTCGGCCAGGTTCCAATACACCTTTGGGGTCCTTAGGCAGGTGTCACAGCGTATGGTCACATCTGTGTAAGATTCTCTGGGGTCCCTTTTTGTAGGTATCACCGCATTGGGTCATCTCTAAAGTGGGCTCGGCAAATGACGGCGTTCACAAGAAGAGCCCAATGAAGGACACCACATAGCGTGATACCACATAAAGGGAGGACTTTTATTTCCACAGAAAACAGGTGTATAAAAGGTAAAAGCACTGACCATGTTTCAGGATGGCCACCAGCAGTGGCATGACTTCTGGATGCTGTAGCCTCACTGACGCGTTTCGTGCAAAGCACTTAGTCATAGGGTACGGGCTTACAACAGGAGACGTCTATACACTTCTATTTATATTTAAAATGGCGCTCACGGTTATCACGCCCGCCATTTTGCCGACTCTCCGCACATACGCGGTACGCCGCGCGCCATTTTGCCGTAGACCGGGAATAACAATTACCTGTCCCTGTGTCTTTGGTGGGTATGCGTGTGCAGCGCTGCCATTTTATTGGCAGTCGACGTGGAATAATGAGACAGTTCAGCAGCTTATACTGTCTTGGTCTGCTATAATTTGAAGATAAACTCCACTGAGGAAAAAAACTATTAAATCTGAAATAAAGGGAATAGGTTAAGAATACTTAATGTATATCTTTTGTAAGTAAAAAAGACACATTATGCGCCGTAGTAAATACTTCCCTTTTGTTCATGTAATTGAATAGCTTAATTATATATGTGCAAATAATTAATCAATAAATGATAAATAATAAATTACGTATAAATATATATAAAACCTTATGCTGCTGAACTGAAAACATCATAAAATCCAATGATAATAAAAACCAATAATCACACAGGTCACTATAAAATAATATACATAAAATATAAAATAAAAATAAAAAATAAAATAAACTCCATATAAATTCTAATATGATAAAATACAGCAAAGAATGAAGCCAAGAATTAACCCCTGTCAATATATAGAAAAACACACAAATCTGAAAATATATATATATATATATATATATATATATATATATATATATATATATAATATATATATATATGAGAAATCTCTCTATCCATCCCAAAAATAAGATAAAATAATGGTTTAAAAATTGCGATGACAAAAAAGTGAAATAAGTTTAAAATCACGCACAAGGCGATAAACAGGCTCGAGTACTAAAATGTGAATAAAACTCGCCTTTTCGTGTAAATAAAGTAGTTAGAAATATAAAATAATGAGAATACAACTCATAGGTCATATAAAATACCATAAAACCTAAAATATAGTGTATTAATATATGCCTATAAAAATGATGATCTAGCTATTATCGATAAAGCAGTTTATATCGAAATCAATATTGAGCCCTTTAGGATGTAGGGAACCCAATTCATAAATCCATTTGGATTCAGATTGTAAAACTGCTCTTTTGTTGTTTGACCCTCTCCAGTGAGCATTAATAATACTTATGACCATAAATTTGAGCGAGGATGGATCTCTGTTATGGCGTATCCTATAATGGTGTGACAAGGAATGCTCCTTGTAACCCTTTTTAATATTCACATGTTCCCTCAATCTGTCTCTCAAACATCTTGTGGTGCGTCCTACATACTGCAAATTGCATGGACATTGCAGTAAATATACCACATGCGTGCTGGTACAGGTAATAAAATACTATAGGTATTGCCATTTACCGTAGAACTAAAACAATCATATTTTCTGGTAAACCTACTACATTGGCAGATTATACTTTTTTTTTTTTTTTTTTTTTTTTTTTTTTTTCTGCAGGGATAAAATCCTTTTCATGTTTGAAAAGCACTTAATTTTTTCAGGAGGGTCAATAATATTTGGAGCTATCTTGTTTCTAGGTGGCATAGCTTTTTCTAAATGCAATTTCTGGTTTCTCCGGTAAAATATGACTCAAACGGGGTCGGATTTTAGAATTTTCCAATTATTACTGATAACCTTAGTGTTGGCTTTGTGTTGGATAGAGTAGTTAGTAACAACGGGCAGATCTTCTTTGGTTTTTGTATAACATCATTATTTAGCATAGTATCTCTGTTAGAGCTTCCTATGTCTACCATAACCTGCTCCAACATGGGCTCATTATATCCTTTTTCCAGGAACGTAGTTTTTATAATAGACGCTTGTTTATAATATGTACTGATGTTTGTGCAATTGCGTCTGATTGCTAGACAGCTGCCACCACCCAAGTTGGCTACATAACATTCCTAAAGGGCAATTTTTACGGATCAGGGTTTTTATATGTATGTTTTATTTATACCCTGTTCCAAATTATTATGTAAATTCTATTTAAGTGTCACAAAGATTAAATATGTTGTTTTTCAGTTTAACTCATGGATAGTATTGCGTCTCAGGGCTCTTTTGATCACTGAAAACAATCTCGGACACCTGTGATAATTAGATTGGCCGCTGGGCCCAATTTTAGGAAAAACTACTAAAGGAGGGTGTTCCGCATTATTAAGCAGAGCACCATTTTCAAGCAATATGGGAAAGAAAAAGGATCTCTTTGCTGCCGAAAAGAGTGAAATAGTTAAATGCCTTGGACGAGGTATGAAAACATTAGATATTTCCCGAAAACGTGAGCGTGATCATCGCACTATTAAGAGATTTGTGGCTGATTCAGAGCACAGACGGGTTCGTGCAGATAAAGGCACATTGAGGAAGATTTCTGCCAGATCCATGCATCGCATCAAGAGAGCAGCTGCTAAAATACCATTACGTAGCAGCAAACACATATTTGAAGCTGCTGATGCCTCTGGAGTCCCACGGACATCAAGGTGTAGAGTCCTCCAGAGTCTTGCAACTGTGCATAAACCTTCTATTCGGCCACCACTAACCAATGCTCACAAGCAGAAACGGCTGCATTGGGCAGAAAAATACATGAAGACTAATCTTCAAACAGTCCTGTTCACTGATGAGTGCCATGCAACCCTGGATGGTCCAGATGGATGGGGTAGTGGATGGTTGGTGGACAGCCACCCTGTTCCAACAAGGCTGCGATGTCAGCAAGGCGGTGGTGGAGTCATGTTTTGGGCCGGAATCATGGGAACAGAGCTGGTCAGCCCCTTTAGGGTCCCCGAAGGTGTAAAGATGACCCCTGCAAAGTATGTGGAGATTATGACTGACCACTTTCTTCCCTGGTACAGAAGGAAGAACTATGCTTTCCGTAATAAAATCATCTTCATGCATGACAATGCACCATCTCATGCTGCAAAGAATACCTCTGCATCAATGGCTGCTATGGGGATAAAAGGAGAGAGAGTCATGGTGTGGCCTCCATCCTCCCCTGACCTCAATCCTATTGAGAACCTTTGGAGCATCCTCAAGCAAAATATCTATGAGGGTGGGAGGCAGTTTACATCCAAACAGCAGCTCTGGGAGGCTATTCTGACATCTTGCAGACAAATTCAAGCAGAAACTGTCCAAAAACGCACAAGTTCAATGGACTTGTGAAGCTGCTATCAAATAAGGGGTCCTATGTTAAAATGTAACGTGACCTGTTAAAATGTTTAAAAAGTTAAAATGTTCAAAGTTTGATTGAAATATCTTTTGATTTCAGTAAATATGCTGCAAACACAACAAATGACAATTTTCAGTTCTTTACAACCTATCAAGTGTTTTGAAACTTACTGTGTGTAATAATTTGGAACAGTGCATTGTACGTTTTTAAATGTTTGTTTAAAAAAAATACTGTTATCATTAGGAGGTTTGTTCAATAAAATTTGAATTGTACTCCTAATAGTTGATAACATGAGAATTATGCTGACTGTTATTTACATCAATTATTTAGGTAAATGAGAAAAATATAATTTGCATAATTTGGAAGTGTGTGTAATTTTTTTTTTTTTTTTTTTTTTTTTTAATTATGGCTGCACACTCTGACCTAATTACCCTCACCCTTCAGGTTTTTCTATCTTTCATGAACCGTTTACATTACAAACGTTTTCAGTTGTCTTGTATGCATGGACAGCATATAAGACAACTGGGAAGGTTTGTTATGCAAACAATGAAGTGTGAGGGTAATGAGGGCAGGCTGTGAAGCCATAATTTATATGTATATTTTGTGTAGGTGGTGGAATCTGTGTTATGGTAATATATTCATAATGGCCTTGCGGAGGCTTAAAATTGTAAGTTTTAAGGATCAAGAGATTAATGATTTTAAATATTGACAATAAATTTTAGGATGTTCTTGTAAACATTTGTTGGTGTTGATAAACCACCTTAAAAGTCCCATCAACCTTTTTGGACTTGATGTGAATTACTGTATGTTGTACAGTGTCTCTTTCAGTGACATTAGTACAGGGCATGCTGGCTGTAGTTAACCGTTAGTTGTGCTTTTGTAGTAAATGAAAATCTTGTGATGCATGTGTGCGGTCTATTTTTCTCAGCCTCTAACCAGCTGATGGATGAGAACCAAGTGTCCCTGACCTTTACAGATTGGCTGTCCAGCGTGACTGAACGAATCCATCAGACTATGCACTATCAGTTTGATGGTGAGTATACTGAGACTTTAATGGATGCTGCTAATAACTAGGTATACTGCTGGGCAAGTTATGTAAACAGGTAGCATCGTAATATACTCTGTCAGTAAAAAGTTCTTCTATTTATGCACATGGGTGTGATTGTCACATCTCTTGTGTTTAACCAGTTGTGGACATGCTACAAATGCCTAAAAAGACTTTATTGAAGTACGCAATGTGCAGTACTCCCTGTCTTTCTGCCCCACTACCACCTTACTGCTGGAAGTTCTTAAATGACAGCTGGTAGTTGTGTAAATACAGCAGCTGTAATAGCCATTGCTGTCAAAGATGGACCTGCTTTTTTTCATTATTGATCTGCAAATCAAAGGGATGAGCTTCCTTCTGCATATGTCAGTTAAAGCTGAACATATTTCAATAATTCATAGTCTACTGCTATTGATCTGATTTGAGCTTGAAGTTTGTAAACTTACTTTGTGAAGATCCCCATACTTTTTACTTCCTTGAATTCTGTGACACCTGCAATGCATGTTCACTATGTCTGGTGAGTAGGCACTGCTATGTCACACATTTCACAGAGCCTGCCGTCAGCTTGCAGGTTGCAAGGTACCACAGCATATGTAGTCCTTAGAAATAGAAAACAGCAGAGGAGAAGCTGCAGAGCATGCAGGAAATTCATGAACTTGTAAAATAGGATGATCAGCAGACAGACGTTGCAACACGAAAGCAGATTTTTCAAGAAAGTATATTGGGTTATCAAATATAACTATTGTTTAATTCTAGAACATCAGCATTGTAATATAAATTCAAAGTGTAGACTGTGACCATACTTGTGAAAATGCTCCTAATACCTGAAACTGATATTTCATGTTGTGATTTGTGTAGATAAAAAATGTATGGACACAAATTGCCCTGCAAAAAATAGCATGCAATTTGAACATGAATGCTATTCCTGTCTAAATTGCATGTGGCTTCCTCACTGCTCCTGTGAGAACCCAGGCTTGTCATAGCCGGAGTTCACACAGGAGTGGTTCGGGAAACCTTCCTGCAGCAAACCCATGCTGTCGCGGAAGGAAAAACTGGGGAATTTAATTCCTGTTCAAATTGCATAATATCCTGAACAGTGCAATTTGCGTCTTTACATTTTTTGCAGTAAAGCAAATCGCACTGCAAAGTATCGCTACTCTGTATTGGCGACTACTTGACCAAAAGTATCAGTGTTTGTGCTCGCCAATTAAAAAAGGGAATCTGTGCATCCCTATTTTAAACAGGCAAAATTATAGAGTAGAATGTATACCTTTTTCTTTACAGAAACCACTAATGCTGAAAGTGCGTTTTTTTTTATAAGGGAAAAATAAAATCTGTCTACGGATTGTAAAAAGGTATAACTAAAAGCCTTGATTGTCCTAAAAAAAACAAAAAAAAAAAAAAAAACAAAACTATATGTATTTCTCTGGTCCATTGGGGTTGTATAGGTATGTGGCTAATGTACCTGACTAAGAATGGCAAAGATTTGTGAATGGATGTAGTGTACATTACAGGAATAAATCTCTTGTCTCCAGCTGATTTCTGGCTTATTGTAGCAAAGTGAAGCACTGCATAAATGTGCATCATGTACTGCTTTTCTTTCAACCCCACAGTTTTAGGAAATTGGAATCAAAGCTGTTGTGCTTAATGGAAAATTGCTGTGCAGTAAGCCTGACCTCTGCCTCCCCCATGTCCGTGTGGAGACAGGCTAAAGTCATCTCTGTACAAATACTCTGAAACTCATTTATCATTGTGAATGTCATTTGTTGTCTTTTGTGACCTTCTCTGGTTCATACGCATGAATGACATTAAATGTCAGGCTGATAATTTTAATAGTGATGCTGATAAAACCGCACATATTAAACAATGTGTTTCAGTTATTCTGCAGGTATAGGGCTCTATGTACATTCAAAGGATGACGAAGGCCCTCTCTAACCAAGTGCTACCGATTATTTTTGAATTTGATATTTTTTAACTTGATTCGTGGTGTTCACATTTGTTTTTTTCTGTTAGACTAGCATTCATAAGCTTTATTCAGCGTGTGTGTGAAATCAAGCACCAAGGCATGCAGACTGCTTCTACAAACATTTGTGAAAGAATGGGTCGCTCTCAGGAGCTCCGTGAATTCAAGCGTGGTACCGTGATAGGTTGCCACCTTTGCAATAAGTCCATCCGTGACATTTCCTTGCTACTCAATATTCCATGGTCAAATGTTAGTGGCATAAGAAAGTGGAAGCAACTGGGAACAGCAGCAACTCAGCCACGAAGTGGTAGGCAACGTAAAATAACAGAGCGGGGTCAGCACATGCTGAAGTGCGGCGAAGTCACCAACTGTCTGCAAAGTCAGTAGCTAAAGACCTCCAAACTTTGCGTGGCCTTCAGTGACCCTAGAGTGACGAATCACGCTTCTCTGTCTGGCAATCCAATGGATGTGTCTGGGTTTGGCGGTTGCCAGGAGAACGGTACTTGCCTGACTGCATTGTGTAAAGTTTGATGGAGGGGGATTATGGTGTGGGGTTGTTTTTCAGGGGTTAGGCTTGGTCCCTTCGTTCCAGTGAAGAGAACTCCTAAGGTGTCAGCATACCAAGACATTTTGGATAATTTCATGCTCCCAACTTTAGGGATGCAGTTTGGGGATGGCCCCTTCCTGTTCCAATGTGACTGCGCACCAGTGCACAAAGCAAGGTCCATAAAGACATGGATGAGCGAGTTTGGGATGGAGGAACTTGACTGGCCTGCACAGAGTCCTGACCTCAACCCGAGTGAACACCTTTGGGATGAATTGGAGCGGAAACTGCGAGCCAGGCCTTTTCATCCGACATCAGTGCCTGACCTCACAAATGCGCTTCTGGAAGAATGGTCACACATTCCCATAGACACACTCCTAAACCTTGTGGACAGAAGAGGTGAAGCTGTTATAGCTGCAAAGGGTGGGCCAACTCAATATTGAACCCTATGGACTAAGACTGGGATGCCATTAAAGTTCATGTGCGTGTAAAGGCAGGTGTCCCAATACTTTTTGGAGGCCGAAAATACCCCTATTGGCCTTTGGCCAATATGCAAATAGGCACCAATACAGGTGCCAAAAATGGTCCCGCCCCCTTCGCCACCACCCCTGTCTGGTGGTTCTCAGGCTTACCTGAGAACCCATCCAACGATCCTGGAGCTGGGCATAGAGATTAGTGACGGAAAGTTGACCTCCACTCATCTCTATGCCCTTGGAGGACCGGAGCGACGTCATTGTGTTGCGGTTCTGGCCCCATGTAAACAAGGCCTTTTTTAAAGCACTAGATCAATGCTTTTTTTTTTTTTTTTTTTTTTTTTTTTTTATCTAATGCTTTACATTGTATAGGAGAGATGTGGGGTCTTATTGACCCCAGATCTCTCCATAAATAGGACCTGTCACTGCTTATTTCTATCACAAGGGATGCTTGCATTCCTTGTGATAGGAATAAAATTGCTAAAAAAAAAAAAAAAAAAAAAAAGTTAATGGGACAGTGTAAAAAAAAAAAAAAAAAGTAATTAAAAAAAAATTGTTTAAAGTACCCCAGTCCCCCCATGCTCTCACGCAGTGGTGAACGTATGCGTAGGCCGCGCCCACATATGTAAGCGTTGTTCAAACCACACGTGAAGTATTGCCACAAAGGTCAGAGCAAGAGCAATAATTCTAGCACTAGACCTCCTCTGTAACTTTAAACTGGTAACCTGTAGAAATTTTTAAAGCAATACCCATGGAGATTTGTAAGTACTGTAGTTTGGCACCATTGCACAAGCATGCGCAATTTAAAAGCATGACATTTGGTATCTATTTTCTCATCTTTCATATTTTTGGCCAAGTGCATCCTAAATGTTTGGTTTTGGCACCAGAATTTTCATTTCGATGCACCACTATATACACTGTTCAAAAAAATTAAAGGATTGCTTTTTAACCACCTGCCTATTGGGCACTTATACCTCCTTCTTTACCAGGCCAATTTTCAGGTTTCAGCGCTGTCGCACTTTGACAATTGCATGGTCATGCAAGATTGTACCCATATGAAATTTTTATCATTTTTTTTCCTCACAAATTGAGCTTTCTTTTGGCAGTATTTAATCGTCGCTGGGCGCTTTACTTTTTGCGCTATAAACAAAAAAAAAAAACTGCAAAAAAAAAATATTTTTCTTTGTTTCTATTATAAAATTTTTCAAACAGGTAATTTTTCTCATTCACTGATGTGTTGATGAGACAGCACTGATAGGCAGCACTGATAGCCAACACTGAAGGGCACTGACAGGCTGCACTGGTAGGCAGCACTAATGAGGTGTCACTGATAGGCGGCACTGATGGGTACTGATAGGTGGCACTGACTGGCGCCACTGCTGGGCTCTGACTGGCACAACCGCTGGGGCACTGACTGGCAGCACTGCATTGATGGGCACAGGTGGGTGGCACTGCTGGGCACATGTGGGCGGAGCTGGTGGGTGGCACTGCTGGGCACAGGTGGGCGGAGCTGGTGGGTGGCACTGCTGGGCACAGATCATCAGGGCACTGATGATCGGTGCCGATCCCTGCTCTGATAACTACCGGTTCTCGGCAGTACTTTCCTCGCGCTGTGACAGCGTGAGGAAAGTGCAGCCGAGAACCGGCAATTGCATTTCCCGGTGATCAGCGTGTCATTGGACACGGCTGATCACGTGGTAAAAGGCCTCTGTGATTGGCCTTTTACCACATCATGTGATCAGCTGTGTCTGTAGGACACAGCGATCATGGAGAGCGCGTTCTGGGAGGACGTCATATGACGCCCTCCCAGAACTGGCCAGCCGCAGTGTAGCAGTCATTTGGCTATCTGCGGTTGGCAAGTAGGTAATCAGAGTATAGTATCAAGTCAGTTAAACTCCTGGGATATATTGATCTGATCAGTTAAGTAGCAGAGGGGGTTGTTAGTGTCAGCTGCTTTGGTGTTAATGAAATTAACAGGTGCACTAGATGGGTAACAATGAGACGACCTCCAAAACAGGAATGGTTTTACAGGTGAGGTCACTGACATTTTTTTCCCCTACTCATCTTTTCTGACTGTTTTTCACTAGTTTTGCATTTGGCTAGGGTCAGTGTTACTACTGGTAGCATGAGGCCCTGGACTCTACAGAGGTTGCACAGACAGTCCAACTCCTCCAGGATGGAACATCAATACTTGCCATTGCCAGAAGGCTTGCTGTGTCTTCCAGCACAGTCTCAAGAGCATAGAGGAGATTCCAGGAGACAGGCAGTTACTCTAGGAGAGCTGGATACTGTAGCAGGTCCTTACCCATCAGCAGGATCAGTATCTGCTCCAAGGAGGAACAGGATGAACACTGCCAGAGCCCTACAAAATGACCTCCAGCAGGCCACTGGTGTGAATGTCTCTGACCAAACAATCAGAAACAGACTTCATGAGGGTGGCCTGAGTGCCGGACGTCCTCTAGTGGGCCCTGTGTTCACTGTCCAGCACCGTAGAGCTTGATTGGTATTTGCTACTGAACACCAGATTTGGCAGGTTCGCCACTGGCACCCTGAGCGTTTCACATATGAGAGCAGGTTCACCCTGAGCACATGTGACAGACGTGAAGGGGTCTGGAGAAGCCATGGATAGCATGCTGCCTGTAACATCATTCATGACTTTTTTGGTGGTGGGTCAAAGATTGTCTGGAGAGGCATATTGATGGGGGGGGACTCACAGACCTCTACAGACTAGACAATGGCACTCTGACTGCCCTTCAGTATCGGGATGAAATCCTTGGAGCCATTGTCAGACCCTACGCTGGTGCAGTGGGTCCTGGGTTCCTCCTGGTGCACAACAATGCCCATCCTCATGTGGTGAGACTATGCAGGCAGTTCTTGGATGATGAAGGAATTGATACCATTGACTGGCTCCCATGTTCGTCTGACCTAAGTCCAGTAGAACAGCTCTGGGATATCAGGTTGCACCTCAGACTGTTCAGGAGCCCAGTGATGCCCTGGTCCAGATCTGGAAGGAATACCCCTGGACACCATCCGTTATCTCATTAGGAGCATGCCCCAACATTGTCAGGCATGCATACAGGCACGTGGGGGCCATACAAACTACTGAGTACCATTTTAAGTTGCTGCAATGAAATTTCAGCAAAATGGACTAGCCTGCTGCATCATTTTTTCACTTTGATTTTCGGGGTGTCTTCGAATTCAGTCCTCTGCAAATTTTTCCGTGTGTGTGTGTTGCTGAAGACCTCGACTATGCATCGAATTCTCTTACGGTTTGTTGTAAGATACATGTTCTCAGGTGGAGTTCTGCTATACATTAGAGTAGGACTTTTATGTGGAAATTTGCTAACATATGTTGTATATACCTGCTGTAAATTGACAGATATTACATGCATATTTGCAAAACCATTGGTTCTCCTGGACTTTAGGAGGAGGGACTTAAAATGAACACACAGTGGAACATGAATCCTTTTTGCTAAACAATTCTGTTGATATCTTGAAAACTATGTTGTGGAATACACTTTTTTTGTTCCCCTTCATATAAATATAACATTGTGTCACAGCAAGTCATGCTTTATCCAGAAACTCCATTTAATAGTGTTACGCTCTTTGCAGGTAAACCGGAGCCTCTAGTATTTCACATTCCTCAGTCTTTCTTTGATGCACTCTCACAGAGACTATCCATGGGTAATGCGAGGATGCGTCTCCCCAATTGCACTACAGGTACATTTTATTATATCTGCTCACAGGCATGCTTCTGATTTGAGAAACAATATAGCATTCGCTTCTATAGTTCTAGTTCTCTTTAACCATTTTTCTGCTAAAAGCCTTTTTTTTTTTTTTTCTGTTTTTACACAAGGTAAATTAACATTTTAGGCCAGAAGATTTTTTTTTTAAGATTGCTTAAAACCCCCAGAGATGTCACATAGTTGTTTATCAAACCCATTTTTTCTGGGGAAAAAACGCACTTAAAGTGTTACTAAAGCAGACCAGATATAGTGAATGCAGGTCTTGGGTTTAGTAACACTGTAAATAAACTGTTGACCTTATTAAAAACAGCTAAGCCATACATTTTGTATAGGTAAAATCCTTAAACCCTTTTGCTGCCGTGTAAGTACCAAGTACTACAACCTCCTGTTGATTACATTTATACTTCCAGCTATTGGCTTTCTAGTAGAAGTGATTAGGGCTTATCTGTCCTCCTTGGGTGCCTGGGACCAACATTGGGGGATCGACCCCATAAGAGATCAGCCCTGAGTCCTTTAGGGTTTAGAGTTTTCAATCTCTGGCTGCTCTCCTGTTGTGATGGGAATCAAGTTAAGGTAAAAAGCTAAAAATATTAGTTTAATAAAAATAAAATCAACCCCAGAAAATGTATAAAATTCCCCCGCCCCTATGAATGATATGCGATTTGTCAAGTGTAAACACAGACATTACCCCACACATTAGGCATTGCCAAAGTGAGAGCAATAATTTCATCATTTACTGTTAACTCTAAACCAGTGTTTCTCACCTTTTTTTTTTTTTTTTTTTTTTTTTTTCATTCAAGGCACCCTTTAAAGTTATGAACAATCTTGAGGCGCCCTTTAAAATTATAGACAGTCTCAAGACACCCCATTTTAAAATGTAAAAAAAACTATTGTAATAGTTTTACCTAATGCAGCAACACCCACACATTGAAGACATGGCAAACCCAGATACTCCTGCGCTTAGAGATGGACTCTATATAGATAGGACCACATCACGAATTTCTTGGGATATGCACGCCTTGCTGCCTTCAAATTACCAGGGAAGTCCAAATAACCGAGTGGAGAAAAACAGAGTGCCACTGGCCTAGTGCATTACCTTAAAAAATGTATTTATTAAATAATAAAAGTAGGTATTGTACTCACAAAATGACAATACAGTCAAAGGCACATCGTGACTCTGTAATGGGAACTCTGGACCTCTAACAGGCTGACGCGTTTCGAGGACTTGAGTTGGCTCTGAGGAAGGGGCAAGTCATCATAGTTCCCAGGCAGACACGTAGTGTGGATTGGACAGGGCTATTCTTTCACGGTGTACTCTGTACTGCCATTTTGTGAGTACAATACCTACTTTTATTATTTAATAAATACATTTTTTAAGGTAATGCACTAGGCCGGAACACCCACACATGTAAGACACCCACCGTTAGAGGGGATTTATTTGTCCGAAGTAAATACGCTTTTGCACACTGATACTGAATAGTATTCCAGTGTTTCTCTTCTCCCTCAGTTTTCTCCCTATCACTCAGCCTTTTTGACCCCATTACTGACAGATTGGCAGGGGAGGGTCAAAGAAGGATGGCGCATAGGTGACCAACATCCTGCATTACAATGGATGGCATCATTGGTTTTTAGGACGCTGGCGGCAGAAGGGTGTAATGAAAAACCTATAGCTTTGTGTAAATTAAAGGCAGGCTTGATCCACCTGCTGTCTGTGCAATTTGCAATCTTGTTTTATTTGTATCTATTTATTCATTGTAACATATATATAGTTTGTGTTTGTAAGGCAACATTTAGAGGATTTTCTACTTGACAGCTTTTGTGAGGAAAGATGCCCTCCCGCTTGGGACTTTCTCCAAGTACACCTGGCACATAACCAACATTTTACATGTGAAGCAGATCTTTGACACCCCAGAGGTAAGTGTCCACCTACTGTATATGATACTGGTGCTAACGATGAAGATGTCTAATGCATTGAGATGGGGGGTACCCGTAATTTCCCTTCTGAAATTCCTCTTGTACCTGTATGAGCTGTTCTCTCATTCATATTCACAAAGATATGCATCACACAAAAATGCGAAAAGTCAAGGTTTATAGTGGTTTCTTTTATTACTACTATTGGAGTATAGATGTATTACATAGATATAAACTGCAGTGCAGTAACTATAGGTTGATATACACTCATGTTGTCACGTGTGGCATCGTAATTACTACATATTGAGTGAAACACATGTACTTTTGAAACGTACTTCTGTTGTGGTGACCCCTCAATTACATGTAGCTTGGTCTACTAGAAGGAAAGAAGGCTGACAGAATAATCCTTTTATTTACCAAATATTGCCACAAACCGCCTCTGTCCCATTCAACTATTTTAAAAGGAAAATATTGTGTCTACTGTAACACATACAGAAATGTGTGGGCATCTGTTGCTGGTCTTTTAAAAATGCTAGTCATCTGGTTGTGGCTAGCTTCACTATCTGAGTCATTGACCCAAGACAAGGATGCCACAATGTAAAAAAACAAAACATGGTTTCCGTTAAAGCTGAACTGAACAAACCGCTAAAATACACATATAAAATGAACTGGAATGGGGGGTCTGTGGTGGAAGGGGGGGTGGTGGTAATGTGAAGGGAAGACTGTGATGTAAGGATGGTGAGAGAGGAGGGAATATGATGTGAAGGGTACTGTGGTGTAAGGATGGGGGACTGGGAGTACTGGTGTGAAGGGTGGGGGGGGGGGGGGTTTCTGTGATGTAATGCTAGGTTCACACCTATGCATTTGCTGCGGCTTGTGTTTCCCTGAGCTTCTGGGCTTCTGTACCTGCAAGAAACACAGGAAAAAGGTTCCTGTACCTTTTTAAAAATGCATGGTTCACACCATGCCAGAGTCTGAATTGCACAGAAATTCTGGCCTGGTATGTTTTTAAATTTTGAGGGGAACCCCCACACCAAAATTTAAAAACAGTGGCATGGGGGACCCCCAAAGTCCATACCAGACCCTTACCTGAGCATGCAGGCAGGTCCGGAAAGGGGGGGGGGGGGGGGACTAGCGACTAGCGAGCTCACCCCCCCCCCATACCAGGCCCTCGTCATAGGGGGAGTGCTTTGAGGCAGGGGGGATTCCCCCTGAAGGACCTTGCCCCCATGTTGATGGGGACAAGGGCCTCTTCTACACAACCTTGGCCGGTGGTCGTGGGGGTCTGTGGGTGCGGGGGTTATCAGAATCCCCAGATTCCGGCCCCCCTCCCATGTAAATGAGTATGGAGTACATGGTACCACTACCCATTCTCAAAAAGTGTAGTGTAAAAAAACCACAGTAGGCAGTCATTCATAGTTAATCACATTGCCCACCGCCGACCCGAAAAAAGAAAAAAAAAAAGGCTCTGCTCTCGACACCAGAGCAGAGCCTTTTTTTTTTTTTTTTTTTTTTTTTTTTTTTCTGGGTTGGCAGCAGGCATTGTGATTGATGATAGCTCTACACCGGGGGATAGGTTTTTTTTTTTTTTTTTTTTGGTTTTGTGTGGTATGTTTTTTATTTTTTTTTTGTTTTTTTTTTTGTTTTTTTTTTTTTTAAATAAAGGACTTTTCAAAGACTGTTTGCCTGTTTGTGTGTGTGTTTTTTTTGTTTTTTTTTTTTTTTTTTTTTTTTTTGTTTTTGTTTTTTTTTGACACTACACTTTTTTTATTTTTTTGTCTTGTGAATGAGTACCATGTACCCCATCCTCATTCACATGGGGGGCAGGATATGGGGCCTCCCTTGTTAGAGGGGACTTCAGATTCTGATAAGCCTCCCGCCTGCAGATCCTCACAACCGTGGGCCAACCAAGGTTGTGGGGAAGAGGCCCCTGTCCCCATCAGCATGCACTGTTGAGGGCATGTGGCCTGGTATGGTTCAGGAGGAGGGTGCTTGCTCGTCTTCCCCCCCCCCCCCCCCCCCCCCATCCTGACCTGCTGGGCTGCATGCTCGGACAAGGGTGTGGTATGGATTTTGGGGGGACCCCCACAACTTTTTTTTTTTTTTTTTTTTTTTTTTTTTGGTTCCCCTCAAACACAAAGGGCATGGTATGGATGGGGGGGAACCACATGTGGTTTTTTTGTAAATTAATTTTATAATTGCTGGGAATTCTTCTTCCTTTTTTTAACATTCAGCTGTCATCAGGAAACCCATCTGTTGTTAAAGGCTGGGCGGCCAGCTTACTTAACCTCCCTGGCGGTATTCCCGAGTGTGACTCTGGGTGGAATTTCAGTACCATTAGCGGTAACCCCAAGCCACACTCGGGATTGCATCGCTGGATCCTGGAAGAGGTTAAATACCTTGTCCCCGGGATCCCACAATGTATTCCCGCAGTGTACGACAGCCGGATCTTCTGCCCGATGCTCTGTGTGCCCTGGCTTCCATTCCCTGCGAGAGTCGCGACACGGGGGTGGAACCGGCGGCAAATTCAAAAAGTATAATGCACAAACACACTGATACATTGTAATCCTATTGGATTACATTGCTAAATAAAATAAATTGACCTTCGTTTTTTCCCCCCAGTGCTTTCTCCAGTGCCCTTACCTGCAGTTTTACTGTACTTTGTGTCTGGAAACTGCAGAACGACCATGGCATCAAAAAAGCGCGCCTCCACCTCAAAAGCGGTATATGACCTGCTGGAAAACAGCAACAGCAATGCAGAATTGAGTGATAGCGATTCGTGGGTAAGTTCGTCATCGGACACAAAAAGCAATTTCAGCGATGATCCTGCGACTGTGCCCAGCGATGTGCGGACTTGGTGCTCGATTGACTGCGGTACGGAGCACGTAGCGCCCCCAAGATTCCTGTTTACTGGAGCACCTGGTATCAAAGTGGATGTTGAGTATGACAACCCCTTGGCATACCTCCAACTCTTTTTGACCGATGAGGTTATTGAAAAAATTGTTACGGAGACAAATCGGTACCAGGAGCAACAAGCTGCTATGCATCAGAGGTTTTCAAGGAGCAGAAAGTTGGAACCAGTGACCAAAGAGGACATCTGGAAGTTTCTGGGCCTAATAATTCTTCAGGGAGTGGTGGGGAAACCCCTGCAGAAGTGGTATTGGACAACCAACAAATTACTAGCCACTCCTTTTTTTGGCACGGTCATGTCGGAATACAAATTCTCTCTGATAATGAAATATTTGCACTTTGCAAATAATGAAGAATTTGATGAGACTTCTCATCCAGCTCCAAAACTCAAGAAGATTTGGGAAGTTTATCAAATTATTCTGAAAAATTTCCAGCAGACCTATGTACCAGATAGACATTCGTATCGACGAAAGTCTAATGGCATACAAAGGAAGACTCAGCTGGATTCAGTATATGGCGTCAGAGTGCACGACTTGGCATAAAATCATTCATGCTATGTGAATCGAGCACTGGTTACATATGGAATTCGGTCCTATACACCGGGAAAGGAACCAAATTCAACGAACAATTCAGAAATTATGGAATGGCAACCGCTTGATTGAGCCATTGCTGAATCAGGGCTATTGTGTAACCACAGACAATTTTTACACTTCTCCAGAACTCTGAGTTCCTTCTACACAACAAGACGGATGCATATGGGACCGTTGGGGCTAACCGGCATGACATGCCGCCAACCTTTGGCAATAAAAAGCTCAAGGCAGGAGAAATAGTTGCCTGGCAGAAAGGCAAAATGATGGCCTGAGATGGCGTGACAAAAAAGATGTGTGCCTAATGAGTACTATTCACAGTACCTCTACTGTCATGGTACACACAAAAAGGTGGAAAAGACGTAATGAAACCACAAGTCGTGATGGATTACAACAACACCATGGGAGGTGTGGACAAATCTGAGCAGGCCATGACATTTTATCCAGCGATGAGTAAACAACAAAAAAATTACAAAAAAAATCTTCAGGCATCTTCTTGGACAGTGTTTGTGGAACGCATTCATTCTGCTAGAAAAAAAGAGTGACAAGCCTGTGGTTCATGCGGAGTTTGTTTGGAAAGTTGCCGAACTTATATTTCCCAAGCACCAAACACCAACGACTGTAAATAGATCTGGACGTCGTGTTGCTGGCGTTGTGAACCCGAAACGCCTGACTGGTCGTCACTTTATGGACCACATTCCACCAACGGAAAAGTCTGCACCCACAAGGATGTGTGTGGTTTGCTGCTCTAAACGTGACAACACTGGAACGAAAATCAGAAAAGAAACCCGGTTCTATTGTCCTGATTTGTGACGTCGGACTTTGTGCTGTACCATGTTTTAAAATTTTCCATACCCCGGATGTTTACTGAAGCAATATGACTACTAATATTGCATCCTTGTTTGGCCAAAAAAAAAAGTCAGTGTTTTTGATTATATTATTTACTAAAATTTATTGAATAAAAAGTATTCTTATTTGTTATTTATAGTTATTATATTATTTATGATTTTGTGTTTCAAACTTTATCATACCCAAGATGTTACAAAGAAGAACGCACAGTAAAAAAAAATCACATGTAAATAGTTGACTTGGGCTGCTCTTCTTTAAGAGTAATCAAAGCATTACGGTGTATGATTGGGAAGGCCCAAAGCATAAAGTTTATTTAAAAAATTTTTTTTCTTTTTATTTAATAAATGCATTTTTTTTTACCCGAGATGTCTACTAGACTCTGGTTTAGACAGATTTAAGTGAGTTATTCCTAAGAATTACAGGCCTACAATATAAAACGCTAAATTTCCATGCAAAATAATGGTACCGCTTTCAGCACCAAAAATCTTAAATAATCATCCCGCCAGGGAGGTTAACAACCAGCTACTGTGCGATAAATTACCGCACAAAAATATGTGGTAATTACCACAAGAACAATATTTTTACCGCATGAGTTATTTACCGCAAAATTCTTAGTAAATTGCATTGCACATTTGTAAAAGATATTTATTTCATGCGTTATTTTACCACATTTATTCAGTCGCTATTTAATGCTTAGTGAATTGACCCCTATGTTTTCCTGCACTAGAAAAACACAGGTCACTGCAAGGGCATTAGAAAACAACTGTTTTTTTATGTGCCTTTTTCACATTGCATTTTTTTGGCTACTCACTGGACCTCATATGAAGGCTCTATGTACAGTCTGTTTCTATATGAAACAGCTGTGGTGCATAAAAATTAATGAAATGCAATTTTAACATTTCAGTAAGGTTGAAAAAAAATAAAAAAAAAAGCACAGTGCAATGTACTTAAATGTGCATTGCACCGCGTCTTCCTGGACCTCACACTAACAGGTGCCCACACATTAGAACCCTTCATTTTACCATGAGGGCCAGGGTGATCAGGCCATAAAAGGTGGGAGGACTGTTATCTGTACAGAAGGCTGTGATGTTGAATCTACATCATAGCATAAACATGAGACTTGGACCTCCATTGGAAGAAAATTATTTTGACCAGATCTCTGTCAATTTGAATTCATTACCCCTGCTATAGAATATTGAATACGTTCTTGTTACAAGAACTTGTTTTCCTAGGGAAGCTCATTACACAATCAATATTTTGGAACTCCAGATTGCTTTGGTTAACCCTTCAATGCTGGACCTATCGTCTGCAAGGGCGAACGTTCAACCAGTATTTAGTTGGACAATTCAAGTCAGTGGCTTACATCACCCATAAGTGAGAAAGCAGAGTTGCGGTTCAAAGGGAAGCAGATCTGATTCTGGCTTGGGCAGAACTTTGATTCAGCTCAGTCTGCCATGCACTTCTCGGGCATGAAAAGTTGACAGGCAAATTTCTTCAGCTGTCAGTGTCTGGACTCTAGTCTTTTCACCCAAGGTGTTTCAGGACCTATTTTGCAGGTGAGAACTTCCTGACTTCAAGATTCAACCACAAAGTAAGCAGGTTTGTCTCCAGATCCAGGGTTCCTCTAGTCCTCAGTGAATGCTCTGGTGACTTTGTGGGATCAGTTCATTCAGGTCTACATCTTCCCTTTAAAACACCCTCCTCTCCTACTCTGCACAATCGAGATGGAGGGCGTTCCAGTGATTCTCATCACACTGAACTGGCTCAGGAGGATGTGATACTCCGACCTCATTTTACCAGGCCAACGTTCATTCCCTAGCTGATGCTAACTTCAGTCATATGAGTCTTCTGGCAGCTCTGCTATCTGTTGATCATCTCTGATAACTTGTTGGTTCTCATGGGCCAGTTACCCCTTTGTATGCTGTGTTGCCCACTGCCCAGTTGAACTGTAATGTTTGTCCTGTGTCTCACAATGAAAAATTAAGAAAAAAGGATGTCCGACCTACTGTACAATCCTTTTCTTGAAATGCATTATGGGACATGGCTCCCTCTCTGTTTCTGAGACATAGCAGAGGGAGGGGTTATACTGGGCTGTCCTTATAACCTCTCGTTTGCCAGTGTCCATAAGGGAGCATAATTATATGTACCTAAATACTTCCCCTGTGTCCTGTAATGTAGTCTAAGGTAAAGATTTTACAGTAAGTCAGACATCCCATTTTCTTAATCATGCATTACAAGATCCCAGCAGTTTGGGCAGCAGGTAGACCCCAGGTTAGTTGTGGTGGTGTTTGTTTTTTTATTTATTTTTATCAATGTCCAGTCCTGTTGTCCTGTTCATGTCCTGTTCATGTCTATATAACTTGGCGATAAAAGACATACTGTGTCTTTGAATGGACTCAAATAAGAGGATTTTATGATGAGTACAACATTTTTAATGACGTGTTAATAATACAGAGCTGCATTAACGTCTTTTTATTTGTTTGGAGTTCAGCTCTAATTGTGTATCCATGTGCCTTTGGTAATTTAAAGTATTTCTACAAAGTTCTAGACAATATACTAGTTTGATATATTTAATATACTTATTAAAAAGCATAGTTTACTCGATTTAAATACTCAATATTTTTTTTTAAATTCAGATTAATCCAGTAGTGCTAGATTAATAATCTGCCAATCCCTTCACTGGCTCCCTATTGCCCAGCGCTTCAAATTACTAACTCTGACCTACAAAGCCATTCACAATGCTGCCCCAAACTACCTAACTGACCTGATACCCAAATACCACCCTACCCATGCCCTTCACTCCTCACAGGACCTCCTACTCTCTAGCTCCCTGGTTTCCTCCTCCTCCTCCCACGCCCGACTGTAGGACTTCTCCAGGACTTCCCCTATCCTCTGGAACTCCCTACCCCAATCCATCAGACTGTCACCTACCCTCTTCACCTTCAGGCGCACCCTGAAAACCCATCTCTTCAGGGAAGCCTACCCCACTCTCACCTAACAACCGATCTCCTCCACTCCTCCTACCACTCCATCCCCCACAGCCACTTCCTCCTGTACCACTTCCCCCTCCCTCCTAGATTGTAAGCTCGAAAGAGCAGGGCCCTTGAACTCCTCGTGTATTGTATTGTTACTGTTTTGTCTCATGTTCTGTCCCCCTTGCTATTGTACAGCGTTGAGCAAACCCTTTGGCGCTATATAAATACTGTATAATAATAGTGAAAAAATGTTAAATCTAATTCTGATCATTATACGCTAATATGGTAGACAGCAGTGCTTCAGATTCTGAACATGGTGAGACATATTTCTAATAAAGGAAGCAATTTCTGCTCTTTTTTTTTTTTTTTTTTTTTTTTTATCACGTGAGGTAGATCTAAAATATATAAAACGAAACCAGGAGGATTCATTACTTTCCACCTGTCACTATGTACTGTTCTAAACCCAGTGAGAAATCCAGGAGAAACATGACATAACCTGGGAAATCTTTCCCTATGTTTGCGATTTCTATTCTCTACAGATGCCACTGGAAATCACCAGAAGTTTTGTCCAGAACAGAGATGGAACATACGATCTGTTTAAATGCCCTAAAGTCGAAGTGGAAAATATTGCGGAAACCTATGGGCGATTAGAGAAGCAGCCCATCCGACCACTGGAACTGAAAACCTTCCTGAAAGTCGGTCAGTATGTTGTTATCATTAAACTGACACATTTTAAAGTGGAATTAAAAACCAAAAAAGTAATATATTGTAGCTTACTTATTAGATGTGTCGTTATTGTGTGTTTTATTTTTTTTTTTTTTCTCTCTCTGCTTTCCCCTGGTGCTCTGGCCAGTAACACACCTGTATTATACAAAAACCACTCTGGATGAGTGACCACAGATTTGGACAGCAGCATTGTCAGTGTGGGGGGATGGGAGTGTTAGAAGTACTAGTAAATTTAAATACACTAATTGAAGCTGAACGGCAGCCAATACTTTATAGGTAGCTACAGCAAACAGTTTTTTTTTCCATTTGGGATAAAGTTTTTACAGAAAAGCTGATCATTTTAAGCACTCCCGCCAGTGTTAAATGGTTTCTCATCTCTAACTGCAAGAGAGCTTTTCTGTTGGAAAAAAAAAAGCTACAGACTTCTAGCTGGACCACCACATGAAAATAGAAGAAAGCAAGCTTAACAAAGGAAACTAATAGAGCCATCACATTTAAGAATTGATAAGCTGCTGTTTTCTTTTGGGTTTAATACTGCTTTAAGAATAATTTTTGTTTAGGATTATTGCTGATCCGGGCATGTTAAAATGCACCTGATGTGGCCAAAGATAATAGTAGTGCTGAGGACCAGGCATATTGTGGTGTCTTCTAGTGCCAGTCATCGTGTACATCCCTGTGAAGCTGTGTTGTATCCTAGGCTGACATTTTTTCCAAGCTCTGCCTCCTGTAATGTGTTGATTCTTAAGGTGTCCTGCTGTATACTTAGTTGCACTTTTTTTTTTTTTTTCTTCTATGGCTGTAGGATGTCCTGTGTGTTTGAGGGGTGGAGAGATTGAGGAGCCAGGCCAAGGCATAAGTTGAAGATAATATATATGTGACTTTTCTATGAACAAATAAAATAAAATAACACCAGCACAAAACATCAAACCAAAAAAATCAAAATAAAAAATATGTCCAAAATCCCACCGTGTCCAAAAACAATTCAAAATATAAAATCAAAAAATCCAAATTTAACCAAAATTAAAAGCTTAAGCTTTTTTCTTCTTCTTTCATCACCAAAACCTTCTTAATACATGCAAATCCTGATGTTCATACACCTCAAAAAAAGGAAAAAAAAAAACTCGACATAGTGTCATACCTTAAATGATCTAAAACACACGTGCCACTCACTGTGCAGCATGCAAAATATTAAATAAATGTGTATACTCTAAACGAGTGTCTAAACACATACAAATAAGTTCGAATGTCAATAAGAGTGAAAACACATTCACAGAACATAGAATATGAAATGCAATGTGAAATGCAATGAAAACCACTCCACAAATAACACTGCCAGTGTATAACACCACACTATATATATATATATATATATATATATATATACAGTGATGGCCAAAAACCCAGACCACCGCTCTCCAACTCTTATATGGATGGGTAATTACCCTATAGCAGAAACAGCAGGGCAATATACCACTCTGGGTTACTTTCTCCTCACATCGATTTTTCTCCAAAGACTAGGGCCACTTCCTCCACTTTCCTCCAGAAAACCAGTCACAGTATAAAAGATATTCTTCTTTATTGGTAACTCACATAAAAACACGTGACGTCAGACGCATCGACGTTGACCGGAAGTGCGATCGCGGCCATCTTGGAAGTGGGAACATGCGGTTAATGTTTCCCTGAACCTGTCCATGTGTGTACTTCTTGTGAGGAGGAGCTGTTACCACTGGAATTTTTTTATGTGAGTTACCAATAAAGAAGAATATCTTTTATACTGTGACTGGTTTTCTGGAGGAAAGTGGAGGAAGTGGCCCTAGTCTTTGGAGAAAATCGATGTGAGGAGAAAGTAACCCAGAGTGGTATATTGCCCTGCTGTTTCTGCTATAGGGTAATTACCCATCCATATAAGAGTTGGAGAGTGGTGGTCTGGGTTTTTGGCTATCACTGTTTTTTTATATATATATATATATATATATATATATATATATATATATATATAATATATATATATATATATATATATATATATATATGTATGTATATATGTGTGGTGTTATACACTGGCAGTGTTATTTGTGGAGTGGTTTTCACACATTGCATTTCATATTCTATGTGAATGTGTTTTCACTCTTATTGACATTTCACTCTTATTGACATTCACTTATTTGTATGTGTTTAGACACTCGTTTTAGAGTATACACATTTATTTAATATTTTGCATGCTGCACAGTGAGTGGCACGTGTGTTTTTATATCATTTAAGGTATGACACTGTCGAGTTTTTTTTTTTCCTTTTTTTGAGGTGTATGAACATCAGGATTTGCGGGTATTAAGAAGGTTTTGGTGATGAAAGAAGAAGAAAAAAGTTTAAGCTTTTAATTTTGGTTAAATTTGGATTTTTTGATTTTATATTTTGAATTGTTTTTGGACACGGTGGGATTTTGGACATATTTTTTATTTTGATTTTTTTGGTTTGATGTTTTGTGCTGGTGTTTTATTTTATTTATTTTATTTGTTCATAGAAAAGTCACATATATATTGTCTAGCTGGCCTTCAAGGGTGAAGGTAGATCACTTTTCTGGGATATTATAGGGTTAAGTGTTATATAGAATCATAAGTTGAAGATGTTTCTATATTTGGAAGTAATAACCGGGCGTACTCTTATTGTCCTGTCATTAACCATTTTCACTGTTGGACTCCGATATAAAATGCCGTTGCATAACATGCATGCATCTGTAAAAATGTACCTCGCCAAAGTCACCTTTTTAATGCTTTTTTTATTTCAGGTAACACTTCCCCAGACCAGAAGGAGCCAACTCCATTCACCATTGAGTGGATCCCAGATATCCTGCCTCTCTCCAAAATTGGCGAGCTTCGCATCAAATTTGAATATGGCCACCATCGAAATGGACCCTTGCCAGATATCCATGCACCCCAGTCCCACACTTTGGAACACACACTAGAGATCACACCACTCACCACTATCACCTTTGATTGATTCTTAATGTCATGTCTGACAAAGTCAGCAGTGGACTAAATTCAAAGGACCCAGACAGACACCATCATGCTAATCCAATCACTTAACTGCTAGAGGATGGCTATATTATATTGGAGAGAAACTTTTGGATTGCAATGTCTCTTGTGAAGTAATTCCCAAAACCTTTTTTTTTTTTTTTTTTTTTTGCTGCTATGTTATACAGTATTTTGTTTGTGTCGATCTATGTAAAAGAAGTCTCTGTCCTACCTAGACAGCCTGCATCGCATTTAAAAAAAAAAAAAAAAAAAAAAGACAGCAATGGATGTTAAAGTGGTCAATTTGGATGCTTTGAACAGTGGCTTTCATCATATGTTGTAAAACATTTGAAAGATCTGGATGAGAGCGCGTTTCTCTACATTTAACAATGTTTTTCTTCATTTTACGTGGCTGACCTTCCATTTCTCCGCTAGTACGTCTACATTGACAGTAGTGGGCGACTCTTACTGGACTGTATTAAGTAATTAGATTGGGACCATGTCATTGAGACTGAGGATGATCGGTCAATATCCTTTTATTACAAGAGATGACCTTAATGGTTGCTTTACACAGTGTGATCCTTTTTTGTATATAATTCTTAATTATACTCTTAGTCTCTCTAGCCTGCCACCCACCATCCTTTTAAAAAAAAAAAAAATATATGCTTTTATCATATCTTGTAAGTAACTGTAGTATATTATGTTGATAGAGTGGCTATAACCATTAGCTTAATTGGATAAAAATTAATATAGCCCCATGAAGATTCTGAACATTTTTAATCAAATAAATGTGTCAAGAGAACCATGATCAATGCTCTGCATCATGTAGGTACCATTTAAAATGTATGTCAGGGCAAAATAAAAAAATAAAAAAAAAATGTTCTGTATATCTCTGCCATGCATGCATGTTTCCTTATGTTTTATCCTCAAAAATGCTTCAAGTGCATCTGCCAGAATTTCAGTGTGCTCCTACCTTCTTGTATGAATACAGAACACAGTGCCTTTTCTACTCTGAAATAACGAGCAGCGTTGTTAGCCCTGCTTGCTGGACTACAGAACTCTGCATAGTCCCCTACCCTTTTGTCCCTTTCCACATGTGCTTTAATTTCTTTGCCATAAATACTTTGCTGCTGCCTTGACTTCCAAGAGCCTGCTTATAAGCGGTTTGTAGGGAAGGGGATCTTGGGAGATGTAGTTCTGGGGGTGAATCTACATCAGTAGGAGCTGCCCCTGCAAAATATTTACAACTCTGCATGGTGATGTCACAGAGGGTAATATAAGCAACTGGAACAAGGAAAAAAGAAAACAAAATCCTGGGGTTAAGTAAGGATTAAAGGTGAACTTAGGTCAGCCCTATACAAATCCTTCAACAAAGTACAAGATTTCCCAATCACAATGTTGCTATGTGTATATTTGTTGAATGACAAGGTTATTTACATTTTGTCTTTGAGAGACATGTATTTCCTCATATCAGTGCCAAAATTACTTGTGAGCTAATATGGTGAAATTCAAAAAGTGTTATCTACAAATAGGTTCTCTAGCACCCTACACCAACTCATAAATAGTGTTAATAACTCTATATATTCAAACAATAGTGCAGCGCTCCCTTGCTGAATAATTAGTGTACTAAACATTATATATAAATAAATTGGTGTACCAAAAAAATATTTTTAAATTAATAAATCCTAAACTTGTGATTATGAATCCAAAAATACTCTATATAATTAACCTAAATATATGCAAGTCTATAAATGACCAAAACAATATAATTATCCAATCCTATAAAACAAAAACAATATATCCCATCAACAGGTGTCCAAAATGATATTTAAATGAATAGTTCTCCAATAATAATATATGGATTTGTTCCAACCCATAGGACAGCTTCAGGATAATTGTTCCTCTATTATGCGCTTACCTCCTTATTTGCCTACTTATTATAGGCTGAAATAGCTGTTTGTCCTATAGGGACAGATGCAAATACTGCTGCTCCTGAACTCCTTCCCAGATGGTTCCACACTGCAATTTACTAATTATCCACCTGATGCCTCTCCAGTGTGTAGTTTCTTATGGTGGTATAAGGATGGATGGATGGATTTCCCCTTCTCGCCTCCAGGGGTCTATTCCTCCTTGTATCCCCTCCAGGTCTCCACATACATGATACCAAAAGAAAAGCAAAAGATAGTGCCTTATCCTTTAAAAACCTTTATTTATATAGCCAGTAATCCCACTCACATATTTGACAAATAAAATGCGCCTGATCAAACTTTGTGTGTGCTCAGCACAAATCTCGTACTCGCCGTGACAAGCTGACTTAGCGTGATGACGTCAGAGCCCCTCCCCTACGCGTTACGCCACCGGTCACGTGGCTTCATCAGGGGGAATTGATTCACACACAAAGTTTGATAAGGCGCATTTTATTTGTCAGATATGTGAGTGGGATTACTGGCTATATAAATAAAGGTTTTTAATTTTATTATATATCATTTTTAGTACACTAATTATTCAGCAACGGAGCGCTGCACTATTGTTTGAATATATAATGTATTTCCTCATAGTTTTCACAGTATCTTCTAGTATATTTATTACACATGATATCTCTTATAATATTTTTCCCCATTGCTATATATTTTGACCATGTTTATGTTCGACTCCCATCACCCATATTGTTTCTGGTCATATTATTGCTCAAGTTCTGAATGAGCTTCCTCCCTATGTAATCCTAATCTAGTTTTAGAGGGCAGAAAGGAGGGTGGCTGATACTTGGAAAAAGAACAGTTCTGCCCTTTTGACAGTTTGATAAATGAGAACTAAATATTCTTGTGATGACCTCTGCTTATAGAAAGAGGTTCCTGCATTGCATCAGCCCTTTTGAACCCCTCTGAAGGGGTCACTGCTTGAACCTCATCCTACAAGCATTTATTACAGGTAGCACTATCAATTTGCATATATATTGCACATTCCCATCAATCCCTGCCCTCAAGAGCTTACAATCTAAGATCCCTAACTCATATTTATACATGCACATACTGGGGCCAATTTTTTTGTTGGTTATGTCTCCAGCCCCAATGGGCGTCCACATATCTAATCAGTTTTGGGTTTGACGATGCTGGAAGTCGCAGCTTCATCTGATTTTGTTCCCTTTAGGTACTGCATTACCCTCTTTACTGGATTCCAGTCGCGTTGACACGGCGTTGCGACTTTCCTGCAAAGTATTCCCACTGCTACGGCGATGTCTGGTCTTGTCACGGTGGCAATGTATAGCAATTTTCCGATTGCCTTGCGGTAATAATCATTGTTGGGTAACAGGTTTTCTGTTCCATTGATTTTTGGATAATCTGGTTCCATTGGTGTTTTTCGCTTCCTTTGCATCTTGCATATGAAACTGTTCTAACATTTCTGTAATTTTCTGACTTTGGTTAAGAAGATAGCTTCCATCCTCTTCCCGCTCTATTTGAACTCCTAGGTAGGGAGTAATGTTCCCCAACTCTTTAATTTCAAAATTTTGTTTCAGTTTGTGAACTATTTGGTCATTGTCCCCTTCTTGTTCAAAACACGTCAAGATGTCATCGACGTGTATTAGGATGTATGTCCATTTGTTCTCTTGATTCTTTGAATACAGACATGGATCTGCTTTTACTTTTTAAGAACCCTTCCTTTCTTAGTATTTTGTTCACTTTTTCATTCCATGCTCTCGCCGCTTGCTTGAGCCCATAGATGCTCTTTTGCAGTTTGCATACAAGGTTCTTTTCTTTCTCAAATCCTGGTGGCTGTTCCATGTACAGATCCTCCTTGATGTCTCCATACAAAAAGGCAGTTTTGACGTCTAGGTGCTTTACTTGCATTCCCTTTCCAGCAGCAATACTAAGGAGTGTTCTTATGGTGGAATGTTTCACAACTGGAGCAAATGTCTCATCGTAATCTTCTCCAAATTTCTGGGAGTATCCCTTGGCAACTAATCTTGCTTTGTATCTATAGATGTTTCCTTCTGCATCATATTTCACTTTAAAAGTCTATTTGCTTCCGATGGTTTTGCGACCAGGAGGGAGTTCTGTTAGTGACCAAGTTTTATTTTCTTGAAGTGATTTTATTTCTTCTTCAGCTGCTTTTCTCCACTGATCGGCTTCCCTTCTCGGCAAAGTTTCTATGTCTTCCCAGGATGTTGGCTCCTGTGTTTGATGTGTTTTAGCAGCGTATGATAATCTGCGGGGTGGTATCCCTTTTGTCATTCAAGAGGATCTTCTGATTTCTTGTTGTTCAGTGGGTTCTATTGGATCATTGATTGTAAGTTCCACTTCTTGTTCTGGCTCTTGTCCTGCTTCGCATGGGTCAGTGTCTCTTGCCAATTCAGCGCGTAAATCCTCTCCACATTTTTCAAGAATTGTATTATCTGGTGCTTCACTTTCATCAAAATAAACACTGCGGCTTACTGTGACCTTGTTGGTGTGTGGACAAAGGATTCTATATCCTTTGTCCACACACATTTCATATGGTGTACTCTCAATAGCTTTTGTTGGGAGCCTGTTTTGTAGGTATGTTGCAGTCATTATTGCTTCTCCCCAGTATTTGTTAGGTAAGGCAGCGTCCGACATCACACATCTTGTCATTTCTACAAGAGTGCGATTTTTTTTTTTTTTTTTTTTTTTTTTTTTTTTTTTTTTTCTTCCCGATACGCCGTTTTGCTCAGGAGTGTATGGTACATTTGTTTGGTGCATAATACCTTGTTTCTTTAGGTATGATTCCATCTCTTTATTCATATATTCCCCTCCATTGTCAGTGTGTATTATTCCAGGTTTCCTTTAAAACTTGTTGCTTGTCATAGCTACAAACTCTTGAAGTTTTTCTAATGTCTCACTTTTGTGCTTCATTAGATACGTTATTGTGTACCTGGAATAATCGTCGATGAAAGTCAATAAATATCTGTTCCCGCCAGGTGTGATGGTTTTCATTGGTCCGCACACATCACTGTGTATCAGTTCCATGGGT